AGTCTAGAAATTGAAGTTTCATGTAATGGAATTGGTAATTTATATTGGGAATGAAAGGTTCTTCCACCGAGAAATAAATTTGGAGCAATTCCTGTAGACGCTGTGGGTAAAACAGTACCACCACGACCTCTAATATAATGTATTAAAATTTTATAAAGATACATTTTTCCACTACCACCTGGACCATCGAAGAAAAAGCATTTGGGGCGTACAGTTGATTGCTGAAGTTACTCTTTCTGCAGTGCCAAAGTCCTGTGTCATCCCCCACACTAATCCCTCCTATGGCTGCCTTACCCAGACCACAGGCCTCCTGGCCAGGGCTCTGCCCTCTACTCAGCCTCACCTCCCTGCTCATCCAAGATCGACTCCACCCCCAATAACCCCCTGTTGGTCCCTTATCCTATGTCATTCTCACTCACCCTCTCACAATCCAGGATTTGAACCAGACCCCCGGTGCAGGCATGCGGAGAGGCGTCCACCATGGCCCTGCCCCCATTGCGGACCCCCTGCTGTTCTATCGTCCGTCCGGTCATTTCGGCTCGATGGCCTCTAGTTTTTTATATATTAGGATGTCAGCAGTCATTCACATAGTATGGAAATGAACTCTTGTATATCATGATGGTTGTGTGGTAGATCAAAAATATTTTGTAACTAATAATGGAGTTTACAACTGATTCCTTTCAAATTAAAAAATATTAAAATTAGACCAGATTAGAGTTTATGCTTATACTAATGTCACACCAATTTGCTTGCATTCTAATATGACTTTGTGAGGAAGAGTTTGGTACAGATTTCCTGAGTTTATATGAAAATTTTACATTTATCTTTATTTTGGAAGAATATTTTCACTGAATATAGATCCCCCATCTCCGTTTTTTGGTCTTTCGTTACTTTATTGTGATTCCATCATCTCTTGTCATGTATTGTTTCTAATGAGCATTTAACCATCATTTTTATCTGGCCAATGTTTTCTCTGGCTTCTTTATGATTTTACCTTTTAAATCCATAAAATAAAATCTTAAAGAAAACACAGGCTTTAAGGTTGCTAGGAAGTAATACATTTACTATTTTTTCCTTTACATTTGAAACCTCTTATTTAGAGTGGACTGGTGGTAGTTGTCAGTTAATTTAAAAAGTAATATTAAAGCAAGAAATCATTTTTTTAGCCTGGCCTGTGAGGCTCAGTGTTGCGCATCAACCTATGAACTTCTGTTCGTCCTTGACAAGTGCCCATGTGTTATTTTAAAAATATGTCAGTGTTGGTAGGATTTTCTTACATAGGAATTAAGCAAAAACAAACAAAAATATAGTCACAGAAAACAGTGTGGTGATTACCAAAGGGAAAGGGGGGTGAAGGGAAGTAACAGAGGGTAAAAGGGGTGCCCAGCTAGTGTTGCTCAGTGGTTGAGCATCAACCATGAACAGTTTGATTCCCAGTTAGGGCACATGTCCGGATTGCAGGCTCTTTCAGGGTGAGAGGGTGTGCAGAAGCAGCCA